AATCCATTATGATAATGATGAAATTTTTAATAAAAACAATGATAATAGTAATAATGAAAATAGCAATCGTATGTGACGATCATTATCAGTATTATAATGATGGTGATATTATTATATTACCATTTCATTATTATTATTATTTATTAATTATTAATTATTAATATTATTTATTTTATTATTATTATTATTATTCATTATTATCATTTTTATTATAATAATGATTATTAATTCTTATTCTTATTATTATTAATTATTATTAATATTTATTATTATTATTATTATTATTATCATTCATTATTATTATTATTATTTTATTATTATTATTATTATTAATCATTTATCATTATCATTATGGATAATTGCTATTATTATTTTTTCTCCTTATTCTTCCTATTCTCTATTATTATCATTATTTTTATGTTACTCTTATCATTATTACTACTATTCCTATTATCGTTGTTGTCTTTTATGTCCCTTTTTTATCTTCATTATCATCATCATTATCGTTATTATTATTATTGTAATTATTATTATTATTATTATTATTATTATTATTATTATTATTATTATTATTATTATATTATTAATTATATTAAATTATTATTATTATTATATTATTATTATTATTATTATATTTATTATTATTATTATTATTACTATTATTATTATCATTATTATTGTTGTTGTTATTAATATCATTATTACTGTTATTTTTATTACTGTTATCACCATTTTCATAATTAGTAATTATTATCAATAGTATTAATGCTAATTCTATTATTGTTATTATCTTTATTATTATTATTATTATTATTATTATTATTATTATTATTACTATCATTAATAGCTTCTACTATTATCATCATCTTTATCGTTATTATTATCAATATCATTAATGTTGTTATCATTGTTATGTTCTTTATTATCATTATTTTTTTTTATACATTCCGATTTACGTCATCATTATCATTATTGTTATCATCATTATTGCTAGTGTTACTATTATTATTATTGATATTATTGATTTATATTATTACTATTGTCATTATTTGATCATTATTTTTCAATATTAATGATGATCGAGAAAAAATGATAACAATGGTAATAAACAATAAAGATAAGGACAACCAATGATAATGATAATGATAATACTAATAATAATGATAATAATAATAATTATTAGTAGTAGTAGTATTGTTGTTGTTGTTATTATTATCATTATTAATCTCACTATTATTGTTATTATTAATACCATTGTTATTATTATAATTATTAGCAATAATGATAATGACAACATTGTCATAATTATTATCATTATCATTATCCTCATTTTCATTATGATTATTACCAAAATGTTCATTGTTATTATTATTATTATTATTATTATTATTATTATTATTATTATTATTATTATTATTATTATTATTATTATCATCATCATCATTATTATCATAATCATCATTCTCATCATCGTCATCATAATATTGATAGCAATATCGATAGCAATAATAACAATAACAACAAAGGCAACTTTGATATCATTATTATTGTTATTATTATTATCATTATTATCATTATCAACATTATTAATATATTGTAATTTGCATTGTTATCATCTATATCCTTTTTATAATCATCATTATCATTGTTATTAGTATTCATATTATTGTTGTCATTGCTGTCAGCATTATTATCATTCCTGTTATCTTTATTTAATTTGTCATTATCATTATGAATACCATTATTTGTATTGTTGATATTATAATCATTATTATTATCATCATCATTATTATCATTATTATTGCTATTATTATCATTAGCATCATCATTATCATTATTACTATTACTATGATTATTATTAGTATTAATATTGTTGTTATTATTATTATCATTATTATTATTGCCATCATTATTAGCAGAATGATTATTATCATTATTACTTTTATCGTTGTTATTATTGTTATTACTACTACTATTATTATTATCATTATTATTATTATTTATTATCATTATTATCATCATCGGCATAATCATTATCATCATAATCATTATTACTATTAATATCATTATTATTGTTATCATCAGGAATAATATTATCATTGATATTACTATTGTTGTTATACTCATTATCATGGTTATGATAATGATTATTATTATTATCATTATTATTAGTAGTAATATTATCATTATTATTGACATCATTATTTTCGATATTATTGTTACTGATATTACAAACATTATTGTTAATGTTATTCTTATTCTTATTACCATTATTATTATTATCATCATTATTATCACACCAGACACAGACAGAAACACATACACACACACACATATATATACATATATATATATATATATATATACTATCTATCTATCTATCTATTATCTATCTATCTATATCTATCTATCTATCTATCTATCTATCTATCTATCTATCTATCTATCTATCTATCTATCTATCTATCTATCTATCTATCTATATATATATATATATATATATATATATGTATATATATAACACACCCGATTTACCATATGTTGGAAAGGGCCGTTGCGACATACAGACCAAGAATGTGGTTGGAAAAACGTTACATATTTTGGATGCTTCCTCGTCCTAAAATTCCCTCTTTTTGGGGGGAATTCCTTTGATATTATAATATCCAGTATCTATTGAAACTAAAGTACTAAAGTCAAACAGTTGACAGTTGAAAGTTTCACAGTGGTAGGCTTATCAGTAATGTACTGTTTTTTTAGATTATAGTTATATGTTCATATTACATTTTATGTAATATTTTTTTCATGTGTTCTAGCATATCTACACAGAATGCTGAACTTGGTATGCCCATTCTTCGAATTCCTTTCTAAATATCATATATGGCGCGGCACTCATTTGGTTGTCTATGAGCATGTGAGTGAATTTTCGTTCCTACGCGTGTGTGCGTGTGCGTGTGCGTGTGTGCGTGTGTGCGTGTGTATGCGGGCCTTAACATCCACCTCCTAATGCCGGTCCTTCCCTTCCTCCGCAGACGCGTGCAAGACGGGGCGCCACAAGTGCGACAGGAACGCGGTGTGCAAGAGCTTCAAGCGGCTCCACAGGTGCTCCTGCAAGAAGGGCTGGGAAGGAAACGGCCGCGCATGCGCAGGTACGCAGCTCGTGGTTCGTGAGAGGATATGTTTTAGATCTTTACGTCAGAATCTGTATTTCACATTCATAACCCTATGCTTTAAGAATGGCATATTGAAGATGCCATCACAGCAGGAGCAGTCAAGATGAATGCTCCTATGGTTATTGTCAATGTAACTCGTATTATAATCATTACTATCAACAGTATGAACTAATTGATATCATTATCATAACCATCCAAACTACCATCAAAATCATTAGCCATCGCCGGCAGTCGCAGCGGCCTAACCTCCCGCTCTCGCCGCAGACGTGGACGAGTGCCGCCTGCGCAACGGCGGCTGCGTGCACGTGTGCGCCAACTCGCCCGGCAACTACAGCTGCTCGTGCCACGGGGGCTTCGCGCCCGACCCGCTCGACCCGCACAACTGCCAGGACGTCGACGAGTGCGCGGATCGCAACGGCGGCTGCCAGCACTCCTGCAGGAACACCATCGGCTCCTTCGCCTGCGGCTGCAGGGAGGGCTTCACGCTCGCCACCGACGGCCGCTCCTGCGTCGGTAGGGGGCCGGTGGGCCGCGTCGTTCGTTCACGCACACGCAGATGAGTGTGTGTGTGTGTGTGTGTGTGTGTGTGTGTGTGTGTGTGTGTGTGTGTGTGTGTGTGTGTGTGTGTGTGTGTGTGTGTGTGTGCGTGTGTGTGTGTGTGTGTTGTGTGTGTGTGTGTGTGTGTGTGTGTGTGTGTGTGTGTGTGTGTGTGTATAATACAGACACACACAAAATATATAAATGAATAATTAAATATATATCTATACATCCAGGCATACATACAAACACACACACACACAAATACTCAGGCCTATGTATATATATTGTTAAATATACATATACGTGTGTGTATGTTTTCGTGTGCGATTACATGTGCGTGTGCACATATGGATGCCATACTGCACATACCAATGTAAGTAGTAGCTGCACACATTTCAGCCTCCTTACCCCGAGCGACAGGCGGCAGAGAAGTGGTTCCGTAAACAGCGTTGTCATCGCCGGGAATACAGCGAAGACCCACGAAAAAAACAACAACAAAAAAATGGCGGGAAATTTCGGCGCGGATTTATCGATGGAATCCACTTTCGATCCCGGCTTAAGATTTCTCGAACGACTGTCGTAGCTTTTTAACGACCCGGATCTTCGAGTACTTGAGCCTTGACGTATCGCCCGCGGCCATTTTGGCATGCTAAGCGCGGGGGATCCGCTGAGCTCCGCCTTTGGCAAAGAAAACTGCATTAACCCCGCGGTCCCTGCAACATGGCTGATCGGCAGTCGCTGAGTGCTACTTGCATTTAGGGTTCATCATTTGTATTTTGCAATCCTTTTTGCTATATATATATATATATATTTATATTGTGTTTTATCGTTGTTGTTATTTCTTTTTCTTTAACCCGCGGTCTCTGCAACATGGCTGATCGGCAGTCGCTGAGTGCGCTTGCATTTAGGGTTCATCATTTGTATTTTGCAATCCTTTTTGCTATCGATGCTATTATTCGTATTATATTTGTGTTTATCGTTGTTGTTGTTATTTCTGTTTTCTTTAACCCCGCGGTCTCTGCAACATGGCTGATCGGCAGTCGCTGAGTGCTACTTGCATTTAGGGTTCATCATTTGTATTTTGCAATCCTTTTTGCTATCTATGTTATTATTCGTATTATATTTGTGTTTATCGTTGTTGTTGTTATTTCTGTTTTCATTATTATTACTATTATATTTTATGATTATATGATTATTATTGTTATTAAGATTTTATTATTATTGTTATCATTATAAGTTTATTATCATTATTATCATTGTCGTCGTCGTTATCATCGTTATTGTTGTTGTTATTATAATGAATATTACTCTTATTAATATTACTTTCATCATCATTATTATCATCATTGCCATTATTATTCTTGTTACTCTTACTACTAATATTATTATCGCAGTCATCAAAATCGCTACTATATTAATACTAATGCTACTACCATTATAATTATTATTATGATTTTATAATGATAATGGTAACAGTTGTCGTTATTATCATTGTTATTGTTATTATTTTCGTTATTATTATTATTATTATTATTATTATATTATCATCATTATTATTATAATTATTATTATCATCATTATCATTATTATTATTATTATTATTATTATTATTATTATTATTATTATTATTATTATTATTATTATTATTATTATTATTATTATTATTGTTGTTATCATTATCATTTTTATCATTATTATTATCACTATTGTTATCATCATCATCATCATCATTACTAGTATTATCATTGCTATTATTACTAGTAGTAATAGTATCATCATCATTATTGATGCGCTTTTTATACCACTATTATCACCATTTTAATTCAAATTGTTTTACAAACAATGTGCACAATGTACATATATCTAACCTTTTGTTTATTATTGGCAACTGAATTTGACTAACCAGTGTTTCGTCTGCACACAACGTACACGCTTATCTATCGGACTATCGATCTATCTATCTATCTTTGTATCTATCCATCCGTCTATCTATAAATCTGTCTATCTATATCTGTATGCACGTGTTTAAACAAGTAAATCTGCAAGTAACCAGTGCAATATAATTAGCTTTAATCAATCACTTACAAAAGAAACACTTAGAGAATTCAAGCTTACGCGTGATTGGTTCCTATTAGAATGACGTCACGTGGAAGGCAGCCAATGGGGACCGAATAAAACACACACAGAATGGAAACTCCACGCGTGATTGGCCGGCGTAAAGATGACGTCACTAGGTAATCAAAGTCCATGTTGGGTTTACGAGAACAGGGAACCGACGCGAACCAGCCTACCTTGGGGATGCCTTGACCGCAAACGATGATTGTTGATTGTTATCGGGGAATCTAATGGATGCGAGCCGGCCATATAGTGAGGTTTTCAAGCTATCAACTCTAAAATTATTATGAGCACGAGGAAGGGGCCGGCGCGGGAAAAATAGAGGACTTGGCCAGACAAGGCCTCATGCGTGCCTGTCAGTCATATGACGCTTGGTAGGAGAGAGAGAGAGAGAGAGAAGAAGAGAGAGAGAGAGAGAGAGAGAGAGAGAGAGAGAGAGAGAGAGAGAGAGAGAGAGAGAGAGATTGAGAGAGAAGAGAGAGAGACAGAGAAAAGAAAGATAGATAGAGAGACAGATAGAGAGAGAGAGTGAGAGAAATAGAGAGAAACAGAGATAGATCGATAGATAGAAGATAGGAGTAGAGAGAGAGAGAGAGAGAAGAGAGAGAGAGAGAGAGAGAGAGAGAGAGAGAGAGAGAGAGAGAGAGAGAGAGAGAGAGAGAGAGAGAGAGAGAGAGAGAGAGAGAGAGAGAGAAAGAGAGAGAGAGAAAGAAAAGAAAGAGAGAGAGAGAAAGAGAGAGAGAGAGAGAGAAAGAGACAGAAAGAGATAGAAAGAGAGAGAGAAGAGAAAGAAAGAAAAAGCGAGAAAGAGAGGACCATAGCAAACGGCCAACTAAACCACTGCTGCAGCGGCCAAGTGGGCAACAAGAGAGACAGGCAGAAAGACAAAACAAACAGGGAAATGGGCGGAGCGTGGGTCATGCAGGGGGGGCGGGGGGTAGGGGGCGTGGTGGAGGGTGAATGGGCGGCGATGTGTTGTGACCCAAGACGACAAAGACAAAGCGCAGGGAGACAGGGACAAGGGACAAGGGGATACGTGGACAGGACAAGGACACGGAACATGCAAGTGAGTGGACAGGGACACGGGGATAGGTTGACAGGGAGGGCTAGGTGTTGTCGAGACCAGGGCAGGGGTTTTCAGGGACAGAGGTGGAGAGTAGGAACAAGAGGCGGGGACTGAGGGAGCAGCAGAAAGCAGGGAGCAGGGAATAGGGAGAAGGAGGGGGCAGAAGAAAGTAGGGAGAAGGAGGGGGCAACAGAAAGCAGGGAGCAGGGAATAGGGAGGAGGAGGAGGTAGCAGAAAAGCAGCAGGGAATAGGGAGAAGGAGGGGGCAGAAGAAAGCAGAGAGCAGGGAATAGGGAGGAGGAGGAGGTAGCAGAAAGCAGGGAGCAGGGAATAGGGAGAAGGAGGGGGCAGGAAAGCAGGGAGCAGGGATAGGAAGGAGGAGAGGGGGCAGCAGAAAGCAGGGAACAGAGAAAAGGGAAAAGAAGGAGGCAACATAAATAAATATCAAGGTGCTGAGATGCAGAGGACAATAGGAACAAGGAACAAGGGGTAGATATTAAGAAGGTAACAGAGATAGGAGGGAATACTGCACAGACATGGAACAGGGGTGCCAGGGGGATGTAGGAGACAAAGGGAAAGTGCCGGAAATCAAAGGGTTAGTAGGGAAAGGAAACAAACAGGACAAGGGACTGTGACATATTAATAAGGCCATAAATCAAGGGACGAAAGAGACAAAGGACAAGGGACAGAGAATACTGGATATCAGGGACAAGGGATTTAGAGGCAGGGATGCAGGGGGCAACAACAGCAACGGACAAGAATCAGGAATGCACTGGTGAACAGGGGCAGAAGTCAGGGGATACGAGAGTACATGAAACAGGGGCAGGGATAGGCACAAAGGCCAGGAGCTGACACAAGGGGAAGGGGCTGACCTAAGGGGAAGGGGCTAGCACAAGGGGCAGGGGCTGACACAAGGGGAAGGGGCTGACACAAGAAGTGGGGCTAGCACAGGGGCAGGGGCAGGAACCAGCACAATGGACAGGCTAGGACACAGGAGATAGCACAAGGACAGGGACAGGCAAAAGGATAGGGCTGACACAAGAGGCAGGGCAGGGCCTGGCAGGCTTGACCAGGAGCAGCCCGGGCAGGCACAACAGGAACCTGGCACGCATCAGGGGGCCATCAGAGGTCGTACAGGTGCCAGAGGTAGGCCGGTGAAGAGGGGGGTGGTTGTGCGGTTGAAGAAAGAGGGGACGGATGCGTAGTTAGATAACAAACATCGCGGTGGCAGGCCGGCTCCTCGACTCCGCCCGGTGGCTCGCTTCGCCCTCCACCGCCCGCCACCTCGCCTCCACCCCCGCCTCCTCGCCTCCACGCGCCGCCACTCGCCCCACACGCCGCCCACCTCGCCTACACACGGCACGCCCCCTCGCCCCTCCCACACTCCAGCCACCTCGCCTCTCACACGCCCACCACCTCGCCCTCCCCACACGCCCGCCACCTCGCCCACACCGCCCTCCACACGCCCGCCTCCTCGCCCTCCACCCGCCCGCCCCTCGCCCTCCACCCGCCGCCCCCTCGCCCTCCACCGCCCGCCCCCTCGCCTCAACCGCCCAGCTCGCCTCCACCCGCCCGCCACCTCGCCTCCACCGCCCCACCCGCCCTCCTCACGCCCTCCACACGCCACCGCGCCCCCTCGCCTCGCCCTCCTTCACGCCGCCCTCCATCCACCCCCCCCCCCTCGCCCTCCACCCGCCCGCCCCTCGCCCTCCACCCGCCCGCCCCCTCGCCTCCACCGCCCGCCCCTCGCCCTCCACCGTGCCGCCCCCTCGCCCTCCACCCCGCCGCCCCC